AGCCAGCCTGGCAGCATCACCCTGGGACACACACAGTGGCTTTTCTAGTAACTACAACTGCCCCACGTGGCTACTCTCCAAACCAAAGCCCTCTCTGACTCTCACCCAGGGAGATGGATGACCACAGGTCCAGCCACTACTGTCACCCCAGTTGCGTCCCTGGAGGTGACTATGCTTCTCGTCCCAACTCCCCATCAGAGTGAACAACACTAACTGTCCTCAGGCCAAGGCTGTCCCAGGCACATCAGGAGGAGCACTGCACTCCATGGAGCTATCCAACCATCAGTCTCTCTAAAGTCCATCACCAGGACTTCCTCCCTGAGGGCCTCCCTGAGGACCTCCTTGAGGTTAGCAGCCAAGTGAGCTCATCTCAGCCCAGCTGCCTCTCCTCACAGGCCTTTCTCCCTAGATCCTCCCTGAGGTTAGCCACCAAGTGAGTGAGCTCACCTTTGCCCAGCTGCTTCTTCCTCACAGGTCTTGGGGACACCTGTCTACCATCTAGGCCATTACCTTCCAGATCTCCCTGTCTAGTGTTGGGCCAGTGTTGGGCAACACTGACAGGAAGGTAGCAAACTCAGGGCACCCTTCCCAGGGGTCCAATGTCCCCTTAGCCCAGATGAAGCTCACATCTTAGGTCACTCAACTCATGGCCCCTGCTGACCATAGGAGGTCACCCTGTCCAGCCAGCTCCACGCCAAGGGCAAGAGCCCAGCCTTCTCCTCTTCAGCAGCCTGTTGCGGGAGCCTTCACCATTCCACCCCCTCAATGGCTCTTTACCCTCAGTATGTTAATAATTAACACAGGGCTTGGCTGGAACAGGGATACATGCTCCCGAAGAGAATGAAGCCATGGAGAAGGGGAGAGAAAGCAGAAAAATGAGGTCCTCTCCCTAACCTTGAGCTCCAGTCACCAGTGTATGTGTCCCCCCAGCACCTTTGGGATGTGTTGTCTGCCTGGCTTCTCCACTCCCTTCTCTTGTCCCCGTACACACTGCTTGTCAGCACCACCTCGCCAATCCTGAAGCTTCGAGTCTGGAAAGATGCCATTGAGATTGGGAGGGAGGGAGTGTGGTGAGGGCGAGAGGCAGAGAGAAAGGGAAAGAAGAAGAAGTTGGGGGAGAAAGAGAAAGGAAGAGAACACACAGAGGGGGAAGAAGGCCGAGAGAGATAGAGGAGAAAGAGAAGGTGCATGAGGGGTGGGGGGAAGGAAAGCCCTTCATGCACGTCCCTGTCGTTCCCCAGGGATAACTGTTGTTTAAAGACTAGGGTGCACGTGATCCAGGTCACAGTCCTCTCAGTTGCTTGTTACACATCTGAGAGCTGCACAATGAATAAGGATGATTCCCCAAGGATATTCCCTGCAAACTTTCCTGTACCCCCTGTCCCCACCTGGGTGACCATTCACAGCTATCAGCTTCTTGGCTGCTAAAACCAGCGGCCTCCCAGCTGTCCTCCACTGGAACCATGCCTCCAGTGGACCCTCCATAGGAATGCCAACCAAGGCACCCCAAAATTCACACACCCAGAGCTGAATCTGTCATCATCTTTCCCCAGAAGAGCCCTTCCTCAAATGAGCTCACCACCCCACACCTGCTTGTCTGCCTCCAGGCCCCTAGGACCGCGCTCTCTCCACTGCAGGATGCTCGTCCTAGGCCTCTCCATCCTCACCCAGGCAAATAGTCTAAGGTGGCACACTCGGGACACTGACCCACTGCCTGGAACTGCCTGGTCTCCCTTCTCCCCAGGACAGGGCCTCATCCCTACCTTGTACACCCCAAGTCCCAGAGGCACCCCTCCGGGTGCTCCTCTGCCACAGGGTGTGTGCCTGTGTCTTCCTCTTACTATCCCTAGCCCTCTCCCCATTCTGGACTTTGTTTTGAGGGAGGATTCAAACTTCAATCCATCTGGTTGGTAGCAGAGTATGAAAGCCATTTAGTAGGAGAAGGAAGTTTGAAAAGATTAATAACTTTCTAGCTTCTGAATGGCATAAGTGGTTAAGCATTAAGCAACTGGAAAAACTAAAGCTTTCAGGTTTGGTTGGGGGTTTTTCCACCATTAGCAGCTGTTGCAAAAAACTTTATTGTTTCCTTTTGGTCTAAGGCTTGGGCGAGGGGCTTCTGCATGGGTAAGGATTCTATCCTAGGTTGGGAAAGAGAAGCTTGCCGCTGATGGCAGGGGGACATAGAGGTCTCCCCTGCAGGTCCTCGCAGGCCCCTCGTCATTCTTGGAGGGTGAGTCGTTTAAAGAGTTACTCGCCTTGCCTGGGCTGGGGGCTGCCTTGGTTTCTAATGTTGGTCAGGTGGTCACCCATCTTCTTCAACAGGTCTCTTCGGCATCCAGGAAGTGTTTCTCCAGAAAGTTACAGAGATAGAGGTCTGTGTGGGTGGAACCATGGTGTGCAGATCCAGAAGGGCTGCTTCCTTGGCATCCAGAGTTTTACTCCGCTCATCCAGGGATGACTTCTGTATATCTTGTGTTGGCTTTGCAGCTTCAAGAGATGCTCAGCACCCTATCTCTTCTCCTTCACCAACTCATGGAAGAATTGTCCCATGTCTTCCAAGGCCATATCGTCTCAGCCAAAGGAAAAACCCAGAGAAAGGAAGGTGTAGGAGGCCCACATGTGCAGGTTGACCAGATGGTTGACGTTGGCCTCCGCTCTGGTGGAATAATTCTGATGGATTTGAGAGCTCATAGTTGGTTAAGAATTTGGGGCTAACCAAAAACCCCCAAAACTGGTGTTAGCTGGTCCCCAAAATAGGAGATAGCTAAGAAGATGGTCCCAAGGTTACACCTGGAGATGAGGTTGGAGGGTAGGCAGAGGCTGGAGGTGGGTAGTTGCTGAGTCTGTTCTGTCCAAACACTTTTGAAGCAAGATACAGATCCACAGGACCGTTGGGGAACTGCTATCAGTTTTGAGTCCACCCGAGGCACTTGGAAGGAAGGCCTGGTAAAATCTACCTCTGGAAAAAAGCTTTCCTGTGTCCAGGAGTTAGAGATAGCAGCAATTATATATGTGGTTGTTGTTAGGTGCTGTTGAATTGGAACTGACGTATATAGCTGACCCTCCAGTGGATTTTCAGAGGTTGTAAATAACATGAGAGAAGACAGGCCATCTTTCTTGAGAGGAGCAGCTGGTGGATTTGAACTGCCTGCCTTTGGATTGGCAGTGCAACTCCTTACCACTAGGCCACCAGAGCACACACGTATTTGTTTTCTCTCTCTCTCTCTCTCTAGCTCTCTCTCTCTCTCTTACAAATAGCTTTCTCTCTTTAACTTACCCACAGGACTCTAACTTAGCCACAGGACTGGGCAGGTGAAAAAGTTTCCTATCCTAAAGGTAAAACCTGGCAAACAGAGCTGAGTCAGGAAAAGCAAAGAGGGAAGGGACAGGCACTCTCTGGGGCCTCTGGGCTGGCTCCCTAACCCTCTCCACCAAACCCCCCAGCCTGGCAGTGCTTATCCTGACTCAGCCACACTCCAGAGCGCACGTGTGGCCTTCCAGGTGGGAACCCGATTTCTCTTTCCTGAAGATTCTCTTGCTGTACCCCTCCTTCTTTGACCATCCACTTCTCCGGCCCAGAGGATAGGTCCACCTTACCCCTAAAACCAGCAGCACTCACGTCCTCTGGGAGCCCCACCCTAGAAAGTACCAGTGAAGTGTAGCAAGGGGTCCTCAAAACCGCCTAGCCCAGGCACTTTATCACCTCAATACCCTGCCCCTCTGCAACCCACTGGCTGTGAGAATCCCGAGGACCTGAGGCCAGCCTCTGGCAGATGCTCCAGCCACCATCCTCAGAGCTGAGCCTCAAGGTCACTGCCTCAAGGTCAGGGGCCTTTGCTCTCTGGCTAGGTTGGGGGGAGGCAGGGCTTAGAGAAATCTTGGAAGTGGGAGGAGATTGCATAGCAGATAGAGCCAGGCCTTTGGGTTTCTCTCTAGACTCCCTGGGAAGGTGCTAATAACCCAAAGAAGGCCCAGCATCCGCTGTCCAGGTTCAGGAAGGATGCATGCTCTGAATAGGGGAGGAGTGGCTTACAAAGCTCGGCCTGAGCTCCCTCTCATTACAGGTTTTCAGAGGTAGTGAATTCCGCAGAGGGGTGCTTGTTCATCTTTCTCCTGAGCCGCTGGTGGATTGGAACCGCATGCCTTTGGGTTGACAGCACAGCTCCTTTACCACTAGGCCACCAGAGCTCCTTTCTGAGTGCCCTGGAGCCGTAAAATCCAGGCTCTGGGGTGTCAGATCCCCCATTGCCGAATCCCATCACTCGGTCCAGGCTCCCCAGACCCTGAGGGCCTCATTATGGACCCTTTCACACACTTGCCCCCCACCCCCCAGCTCAGTCTCTGAGCCCTGACCTGGTTTCCTTGCCGTAGAGGATGCGCTTCACCTCGCTCAGGTCAGCGGGCGGCAGGTGCTGTTCCAAGCACTGCTCCAGCGACCTCCACTCAGGCCCTGACATGCTGGCGTCCACAAGACCGTGTCCAGACCAGAAATGCTGGCCTTTGCCCCCTGCAAGCAGGTGGCCAGGCTCGCGCAGGCGCTCTCCGCCCTGACAGGAACTAGGGGCTGCTGACATCTGAGTACACCTGCCCCTTGTGGACAGAGCCATCCCCCAGGGGACAGAGCTGTCCCCCTGCGGACAGACCAACCTCCCCTATGGAAAAACAGCCCCTCCTGCAGACAGAGCAGCCCCTCTATGGACAGACCCGCCCCTCAGCGGACAGGGCCACCTTCACCTTTGTGCCCCAAGACACAGGCCTGCCCTAATCAGTTGATCACCATGTTTTGCCGAGGGGTGGTACCAGGCTCACCCTTGCACTCTCATCATGAACCCCAGGTCTCCCTCCCGTGGCCTTAGCTCCCACCCTCCGCAGTCCTTCCTGCAAGTCACCAGCCTTTGCCTCTCCGTCCCCACCTCTCCCTCACCCCGCACCCTCCCCAATCCCTCCTTCCTCCAGGCCTGGGCACCGCCCACCTGGGAGGAATCCTGGTGTCGCCCTCTGTCGCTACCACCCACCACCGAGGTGGGCGCCCCTCAGTCACCTGGGCTCCGTCCTTTCTGAGGGTCCCCGCGGGGCTGTGTTCACCCGCCACTGTTCTCCAGCCACCTGATGGAACTCACGGAGGAAGCCTCTAGCGTGGGGATCAGAGGCGAACCCCACAGAGCTGGTGGCCTGGTGGGTGAGGAGCTGCTCTTCTAACACATGCAGCCAGAGGGGGGTTCAGCAGCCAACCCACCACCAGTGTGCAGTTGTTGCTGTTGTTCTTATGTGCCATAGAGTCACTTGCGACTCATAGCGACCCTATGTACAACAGCTCTAAACTCCGCTCTGTCCTGTGCCAATCGCACTGTCTCTGACACTCCCATCCCAGTTATCCCAGTCACTGAATCAATCCACCTCATAGAGGGCCTTCCTCTCCTGCGC